AGAGACAAGTACGGAAGAGTTTTGAAGAGAGTCTGTGTGACTCTGAGAGTTATGAAGGATTCCGTGTGTGAAGTTTGAAGAGTGAACATAGTGGAATTTTGGAATTTTGAGTCTTTTTCTGTGTGATTAAGACCAATAGTTTAGTCTGTGTGACTGAGTTGATTCTATTCTGTGTGAATAAAACAAAGAGACTACCCTGTGTGGCTATCTATATATATGAGATAGAGAGAGATTATACTGAATGTATAAGCCTGTCAGAGTGGAGTTTGGAGTCTGAGAGACTGTTTGTAGCACCAAGCTTTGCCAGTGATATTTACAAGTTCCTTTCTTCAGCAACTGTTCAAATTAGCCAGTAACCTTCTTTGTTCTTTATTAAATAAATTTATACTGAATGTATAAGCCTGTCAGAGTGGAGTTTGGAGTCTGAGAGACTGTTTGTAGCACCAAGCTTTGCCAGTGATATTTACAAGTTCCTTTCTTCAGCAACTGTTCAAATTAGCCAGTAACCTTCTTTGTTCTTTATTAAATAAATCAATTTTTGTTCAAACTTATCCCAGAAATCAGTACAGTACTTCCTCAGGGCCACCTAGTCCTCTGAAGTGCCCAGACCCTAGGTCATACTACCAAAAGAGAGAGAATTTGGGTTTTTAATTCCTGGTGGCAGCAGAAAACTACCACGTTTATACACACAGGGAGTGTTTAAAGGTAAAACTGTTTCCCCAATAAGCGAGGACGTCAGTACTGCCATTTCTAATAATAGTTCAAACTTATTTTTGATTAATTTCCCGTAACCCTTATTCAGTGTGCCCTGTGCAGTATTACTTAGCTGATACTGCCCTGTGCAGTATTACTTAGCCAGTGCGGTTTTACAGTGGTTAAGAGAGACCGTCCAGTAACAACTGTTGAACATTTCACGGCAAGAAAAAGGCAACGCAGTTTCCTCTACAAAAACGCAATGCAGTTTCCCGTACAACAAAATAATATTCCTTTTCATCAACAAAAATAAACTAACAACCCAAGTAACCACTATCATTCTATAGAGGGAGTAGAACATTAGCAAAATGTGAATCATCTCAGATTTAGAAATCTCCAACAAACGAAAACGTATCAATATGCACAAATAATTTGTTACTACTGGTAAAACACTAACTGCTTTCCTATGCAGAGTTACTCCCGTCTCAATGAAATCAGCTGACAGCTCAGGGCAACTCTGCATAAAACCGCACTGTTATCAGCAACTGCTGATCTTTGGAAATCAGATGCTTACGAGAAAACGTATCAATATGCACAAATAATTTGTTACTACTGGTAAAACACTAACTGCTTTCCTATGCAGAGTTACTCCCGTCTCAATGAAATCAGCTGACAGCTCAGGGCAACTCTGCATAAAACCGCACTGTTATCAGCAACTGCTGATCTTTGGAAATCAGATGCTTACGAACTTCAGTGAGATTTGGGATGGAGAGAATGGAGATACCCAGACTTTGGATACAAGGAAGCAGGACCAAATCCTGAAGGACAGCTGTGACCACACAGCAGAGAATGCGACTGTGTTTATGAGCAACTCAAACAGCACAACACACTTCACACCTTTGTATAAGTTGAGAGAAGAGCATACCACCTTCCTTCCCATCAACTGGCATTAGCAGATCTCCTAATACACACCACTCGGTAGACCTCACAGGATACTCCCGTTAATTGCCAAAATGGGCATTCATTCATAGCTTTCTTTTAATCCGTTACTAACCTGAGGGAATCTAGATGGCCTACTATTGAACACTGCTCTGGATTAACCTTAGCCCAAACCAGCAATCCAATTCTTACTCTTAATGGGGCAAGTGATGCTCTGTCATCTTGGTGCTTGGGGGGTCAACAGTGGGAGGGCTTCTAATGTCCTGGCTCCACTGGTGGACCTCCTGATGGCACTGGTATTTCTGGCCACTGTGTGATACAGAGTGTTGGACTGGATGGGCCTTTGGCCTGATCCAACATTGGCATCTCTTATGTTCTTACTTTGCGAGGTATTTCATTTGCACATCGTAATTAAAATGGAATATTAGTTGTATACAACTGAGCTACCCAATTGCCATAAAAGAAAAATGCCAAAATGATTTGAATGAGAAGTACAACATTCCCAGGGACTGCTGCAACACATGACAAAGATAACAATTCACAGAAGCTGGCAGAAGCCCCCACTGATACCAAATAAATAACTGGAACAGTCACCGATCTGGCTTTAGGGCCCATATCCAGGGTTCTTTTTGTAGCAGGAACTCCTTTGCATATTAGGCAACACACCCCTAATGTAGCCAATCCTCCAAGAGCTTACAGTAGCACCTGTAAGAAGAGCGCTGTAAGCTCTTGGAGGATTGGCTACATTTAGGGTTGTGTCACCTAATATACAAAGGAGTTCCTGCTACAAAAAGAGCCCTGCTACCAATCCCCAATTATATACTGTGCGCACAGAAAGTATTTCATATACATTTATATTACCAAGCTCCAGCTGTTCTTCATCCTGATGTGCAGGAAATTCCTTTGGTCTTTCATCTTCTGATAGGTTTTGGCTATGTAATGAGCAAGAATCCTCATCAGATTGACTGCCTCTTCGACTAACGACGCGATAAATTCCAGAATCTAGTATATTGAAACTTTCCTATTAAAAATCATAACAGGAACATCAAAATCCTATCATTACAAATCACAACCTAATTCAGGATACACCGAAACAGTTAAGGTATGATTCAGCCAAAAGTAAACACCCATAAAATCCATTATCATAATGCAATGTTTTGTCTATGACCGCTGATGTTCACGTAAATGTGATCTTGTCTATGAATGTGTTTCTACAAACTGATTCTGCAAGTTCAAAATACGATTAGGACGGCACCCTATATGTAACATTAGTTCAACAACAATGATATGCTGTCTAACTGTATTTTGAAATAGCAGAATCAGGATTTGTAGGAACACAATAGATGAGATCACATTTACACAAATGTCATTTACTATAGACAAAACATTGCGTTACAACACACTGCAAATGCCATCAAATCTGGTATTACGCCAGAGACATATAGTCACCAATATAATCAATACCACATTTACAAAGCAATTTTAAAACATTACTCTAATGAAACACAGGCAACTAGTAGAATGTTGTAAGAAATACAGAGGTACAGATTATGAAAACTGAATAATTTAAACCTTTATCTTGTTTCTTTGAGGATCCATACAGGAATATCCTTTTGTGTGTGTGAAGTGTTGTCAAGCGGTTTCTGACTGATGGCAACCCCATCTGAATATACTTACATGTGAAGAAATACTGCTCCTCCTGCTACTGCAAGCAGAATCTAAAGGTTCAAGCTTCGAAATCAGTTCTTCAAGTTGACTGATGATATGGCTTTCTGTTGAAAGGTCCAACTGTGATTTCAGATGTTCTAGTTTATCTACTGGAAGGGTTTTTCTCGCCTGATAAGGAAAATGAAAATGTCATTTTTAAAAAAACAAAAAACAAATATCACTGAATTTTACCGGGAGGGACAATAAATTGCCAATGTATTACAAGCAGTGTTCCCTCTAAGCTGAGCTAGTGTGAGCTAGCTCACAGTTTTCTAGCCTCCGGCTCACAGATTTTTGTTGTAGCTCAGGAAGGATGGCTCCAGAGTAGACTAATTTACACAGCAGCCAAATCACTCGCTCAGAACTTTAATAACAGTAGCGCACAATGTAGAATTTTTGCTCAAACGTTTCCACAGCTTAGAGGGAACATTGATTACAAGCAGATCTAAGTGATATTAAGCTATACGAAAACGGAAACCATTGGTTACTTCTATGCTACACTTTATATGACACCTTTATTACAATGAAATAATGATCAACTCGTGGAATTTACTTTCAGATAATCATTAAAAGAACGAATGTCACAAAAGTTATTACCCGACACAAAACCACCGAATTCTGAAAGAGGCAACAGACTTTGGCTGCAAGACCCCACAAGCTTCTTCTAAGCAAACGGTCCACACATCTTTCCGCCGTCAAAAGGGAGAGATGAGAAACTTTTCCACTGGAGTGTAAACAGAAGAGCTCACTTTTGTACACCGCAATATCCTCGATGTCTAAAAAAATGATCACAGGTGTCAACATGAATACAGAGCTTCCCAGTGTTTCACATGTTAGTTCATATTTATTTATTAGGCTTATATTCCACCCTACCCCAAGAGTGGGTTCACGGTGGTTACAACATAAAAGAGACACAATAACGTTAAAACGTCCAATCTCAAATCCAAATTTAAATTAAATTTGAAATTTAGAACAATCAGAGCAAGATGGCAACTAAAAGGGGGGGGGGGAATTAAAGGCAGTCCATAATGCCTCCTGCAGGATGTTAAAGGTAAAGGTAAAGGTTCCCTTGCTCGAAAGCCAGTCAAATCCGACTCTAGGGTTGTGGTGCTCATCTCCGTTTCAAAGCCGAAGGGCCAGCGCTGTCCAAAGACGTTTCCATGGTCATGTGGCCGGCATGACTAAACACCAAGGTGCACGGAACGCTGTTGCCTTCCCACCGAAGTGGTACCTATTTATCTACTTGCAATTTCTTGCTTTCGAACTGCTAGGTTGGCAGGAGCTGGAACTAGAGACGGGAGCTCACTCCGCCATGCGGCACCCGGGTCTCGAACTGCTGAACTACTGACCTTCCACAGCCTGCAGTTCAGCGTCTTAACCACTTGAGCCACCGCATCTCCTGCAGGATGTTAGTCAGATAATAATAGCACACCATTTTACTACAGTGCCCTGTTGACATTCATAGAGCAAAACAGCATAGGTCACTGAAGCAGATGTTATGAGTAGGGGAGGCTGAGATGATGCCAAGAGGCAGCCTCGCTTTACCACATAAAAGAAAGTAAACGCGAAACCACCCGTTTCTCAGCCCACTCTGTTGTACGACAATACTGAAGACTGCTTTCCCCCACGGTGATAAAGAACTGAAAGCACACACTGCCTTGCAGGAAAAGTCACACCGCTTGCTGCATGCCTGGAAACTGCTGCACGCAGCAGCTTCTAAAAACATGGCCATGCACCAAAAACAGGTATCTATATAACTTTCTCAATTGACATTTTTCTTCTGACACCTAAAAAAAAAAGTATAATATATTGATTGATTGATTTGCTTGGGTTTCCATCCCACCCTCCCCCAATGTCATGCCTGCCCTTGACTCAGCCCCAGAGCCAGCTCCTGACAGCCTAAGAGGGGAGGATTCCGTGCCTTTAAGAGCTGAAGAAGCATCAGGATCTGCACCTACTGTAAGTACTGAGGAGGATACACAGCAATCTGAGTCAACTACAGGACGGTTTGCACCTGGGATTGAGCAGGCCATAAGCAGCTCACCACCTGCATCTCCCCCACCTGTAAGTAGGCTTAGGGATCAGAGACGTCAGGAGGAAAAGAAGCACGCTCAAGAGGGCAGAGAACCTTGAGCCCTGAGTTTTAACAGCAGCCAGGACCTCGCACAAAGGAGCTAATGAGTTAATGGGCCAAAGCACTATTTAGTAGGGCCTCTGGCCATGAGCAATTTGTGCTGGCAAACTCGTTCGTAGAACCAGAAGCTCTGCACCTTGATTCCTGTTTGACTCTGTGGCTTTTGGACTCGGCTGGTGTTTGGACTGCTCTGGCTCCTGACTTCCAGCTTTGAACCTGACCACGCCCTCGGCTTTGCTCCCTGTACTCTGACCTCTGGTAACGTTTGACTACGGCTTTGTCTGGTGTTTTGGGACTTGTTTAATGCTCTGCTGACTGCTCTCCCGGCTGACCTTTGGACTTGTATGGTGACTCCCCCTGTCTGCCTGCCTGCCTGGCTCTACCATGACACTCTGCACAGCTGGGCTCAGGGCGGGTCACAACAGTAAACAGCAATAATATCCCACCAATTTGAACAATTAAAACATGATTACAAACATAAGACTTCCAATAAGCCAGATGGCAATCTGTACAAGTAATAAAGATTCAGAGAAGGACTACCTGTATGAATGCTCAGATAAACCAAGTCCTGGGCAAGTGGACAGACCCACAGGCAACACTACACAATAAATAGTGCCAAGAATTATATATTCAGGAGATGGCACTCTTGAAAAAGATGTTGGACAAAATAAATCAAGCTTTATCAAAAATCTACTATTTGTTTGCAATGTGTTGCTGTGTACTGAGCACTTGTCTGAGACTCACTGCTACTTGGATTTAATGATTCAGTAGCAAATTACAACCCACTTCAATGTTGTTGTCATTTTGACCAATAATCTGTTTCCAAATGTATAGCCCAAATCTTACAAGATTTCCTTATCTTTTTAATTTTAAGTGCACAATATCTGTCTCATGGTCCAAGACATGAAGTTGCTGGAGGTTCTGGTTAGTTAAGGAAATTTTTCTGAATAGACACCTTCCTGTAGTGAGGCCTTTTCCATGGCAGGAGCAGCAATAAGAGGGAGCTTTATGACAGTTTAGGACCACAATAGACAAGATACAGAGACATCTGTGAATAGATTTCCTGAGCATTGTCAGTGGACAGACCATAGTCACACTGTCTTCCCATCACCGATTTGGCTATGAATAATGATGGAGGTTAGTGTCATTTAATGCTTTCCCCTATGCCATTTCCTCAACCTCATATCCCTCCAAAGAGCTGCTATTTATCTCCCATACTGGAGAAAGTACAAAACCACCACACAAGTAACCTACATGTTTATTGCACTGGGACAAACAGCTGCTCCAACAAGATATTTGAGGCCAGGAAATAGGATAGCAGAAAATCAAGTCCCACAATCACCTGTATCATGACCTGACTCTGAATTATGCCTCTTGTGATGGACTGTCAAGGGTCAATGCCTAAAAGAGCCCAAGAACCTTTGAGTGAAAGGCTGTTTGAACGGAATTCTGTTGAGAGAGTCAGTTAAGAAATGAGAGTTGGAGACTGACAGCTGAAGACGAGGCAATTAAGCACTGACTGTGGACTGGGAAGGAGGCTAAGAGAGTCAGAGAATCAAGCCCCCCCAAGAGCAAAATAGTTTCTAGTAAAGAGAAGTGATCCCTGCCTAGTTACGTAGGGAATAGCTTCTAGAAAAGAGGAGCGATCCCTAGTCTGTGTATAAAGAAAGATGTAGGGGACTTGATTGTATGTTCCTGCCTTCTAAACTTCACGTGTTGGTGAAACTCAGAAACCTATGCTTGAGTGGTTAAGCAGAAACTGAAAAGAAAAGAAAGCCTCACTCCTCAAAGTTTTAAAGACCTTGTTGAATAGTTTACTTGTTGGCAACAAATTATCTGGTGTTTGTGTTTGTTTGTTTGTTTGTTTGTTTTTTTCAGTATAAAAATGGTTTCCTTTTACTGGAGATTCTTCACACACAAACAATACACACACAATTATACAGCTTCTAGGAAAATTTGATAGACAATCAAGAGACGTTTGCATGAGCAGGAGATCGTTGGGGGGCAATATTTACCTGTCCTGATGAGATGATGCGTCCCAGTGGAAAAATAAGGGAGACTAATAAGGAATGAGAATTATGCTAGGAAATGGAAATGGTGCTCTGAACTGGCAGAAGCACGTGGAAGACTCTGGCTGCAGCCCAAGAGTCTTAAAGAGGCAGTGTGGGTTTCAGGATAGCAAGAGCTAAAAGCTAAAGAGCCAGAAAGGATGTATAGAGGGCGAAGAGGGGGTGTAGAGAGCGCGGGGAGCATGGAGAGAGCGCGAGCATGTTGCTGGGTGCCCACTTTTGTATGGGGGCTCTGAGGGGAGGGCTTTGCTGGCCACCTCCCTTGAGACAACCCCTTGGTGGTCCGTTCCAAAAGTCACGTCCACAATGGGAAAAGGGCTTAGGGGTTGGTCAATGTTGGATTCTAACTGAACTTGTGACAGAGACACCTCGAGGGTCGTTATGACTCATCGGCTAGCACCTACTGTGCTCTTTGTCTCAGGGCTGCAGAACCAGTTCCTGGAATGGATGAGGAAATGTCAAGCGAAAGGCGGGAAATGTCAAGCGAAAGGTGGGAAAGAGACTTTTGTGCCCTCAATGCAGTGAAGGTGCCAGTGTGATGAAGAAAGACTTCTTTAATGGCATCGGGAGTCCTTAGTTTAGACAGCAATGGCAGATGGCTGTTTTAGAGTGTTTCATGTGTCTAGGGGTACATCTGGAATGGGGCAACCTCGGGAACTATGGGCACATCGTCTCAGGCTCTTGCTGGCATCACAATCTGGTCACCTTACATCAGAGTCCCCTTTGCACATTTTACACACAGTTCATTTATGTCCATAAGAGAGCACAAAGCTCCTTGCTGGGCAACACAACAGCCTGTGAAAGAATCTATTTCTTAAAGCTGACTAAACACCAAGGCGCACGGAACGCTGTTACCTTCCCACCGAAGTGGTACCTATTTATCTACTTGCAATTTCTTACTTTCGAAATGCTAGGTTGGCAGGAGCTGGAACTAGAGACGGGAGCTCACTCCGTCATGCGGCACACTCGGGTCTCGAACTGCTGAACTACCGACCTTCCACAGCCTGCCGTTCAGCGTCTTAACCACTTGAGTCAGTTGCAAAGGAGACTATTTAACATGACTTGTTTGGAAAGATATCTGAAATCCTGCTCTTTCTCCATCTTTAACGCTGTGATAAAACAACCAAAGCATCGGCATCATGTGTTTACCTCAAATAAAGAAGCCTGGGAAAAGCCAAAGACTGAGAGGAACAACAGGCAACATTGTACTCCGGATCTGTCCTTTTAAGAAAAAATAGTAAACAAAAAGTAATTCAGTTTTGTCGGGATACTTATCTGTTTAAATCACCTAATTTGACTGTTCCATTATTTAAATGTCACTTTTCCATTTCAGAGACTTCAAGGCAGTTCACAATTAAAGCCAACAAAAATTATAATAATAAAACCCAGTACTATAAAACAATCACCTCAAGCAACATACTTCATCAAGACACAGCTGTAGGTTTGGGCACAGGATTGTTTTGAACATCTGATCCTATTTCAAGTTGTGTAGAGATTTTTTTAAAAAACCTGTCCATATTTGGTGAACATTTAGAATGGAACTAGATTAGAGAATAGGCTGACTGCAATCTTTGCAATGATGTTGTGGTTGTTTGTTTCTAAAGGTAAAGGTTTCCCTTGCTCGAAAGCCAGTCGAATCCAACTCTAGGGTTGCAGCGCTCATCTCCGTTTCAAAGCTGAAGAGCCAGCGCTGTCCGAAGACGTTTCCGTGGTCATGTGGCCGGCATGACTAAAACAACCAAGTTAATTCCCCAAAATCCAGGACGTATATATTTAAGGACTTCTTTTCTACTTGCTAATCACTGTAGAAGATGTGTGTGATCTCATGTCTCTAAATACACACAACCACAGCACACAATAATATACTTTTTTCCCTCAGAAAGAACTGCAATCAAAATGAAAATGAACTATGGACGACGGTGTTGCCATGATCAGTACCTCAGACTAATAACAGGGAGAGGCGGTGATGACAGGAGGGATTTGAACTGATGCGTACTTAACACCTCTCCATCAAAGTTCACCTCCCACATCCGCGAACCAGGTCGTGCACAATATATTAAAGGCTGCTGGCTTCCACAACGTCTTCCAGCTGGGAAAAAACAGGCTCCGTATTCCCCATCTCGCTCCTTGTTTCCAATTTTCCAAAACTTCTCCCTAATTCACCCAAAACATTACTTATTACAGGAAAAGTAATTAGTGACTATAACATATAAATAGTGAATATAACAAAGAAAACATAGATTATGGTATTATGGTATAATTTTAACATAGAACATTGTGTTACGTTCCCACACGGAATTTCTGTACACCCAAGGGAGGGGTAACTGATTTCCCCCTCCTAAAGCAAAACACTAATTCCACACACCCCAAGCTTTTCTTGAGGGGGGGGGGACTCCTCAGAAGCCATATTTCTGCAGATACGAGGGGGTCTAGACCTATGGGCTGAATCCTACTGCTCTGCTCTACTGGCTCCTCCTTCAGGCACAAGCAGTCTTACTCTAATGCAAGCAGCTCTTTCAAAAAAACCTCTCAAAACTGGAGGAAGGCACCTCACACCAGTGAGCTGATTGAAGAAGCAGGAATCAACCCACTAACTTCGAAGTTTGATACAGTGCTTTGCACTATGCATTTAGAAATTTATTTATTTGAATTTCTATCCCGCCCTCCCCGCAGGCTCAGGGCGGCTAACAGGGGCATAACGCCAGATAATAACAATAAAACAGTAAAATACTAAAATTACAAAAGAAGCAATTAAATCTTATGCCACACCCATGACAGCACAGCGCATTAGCATATTAGGCCACACCCCTGTGTCACCAGAAGTGTGGTCATCCAGCCACACCCACCTTTTGCTTCTTCTTCTGTTTACCTTGTTTGTTGTCAAAACCCAGGGCTTTTTTTGTAGCAGGAACTCCTTTGCATGTTAGGCCACACACCCCTAATGTAGCCAATCCTAATGAGTCTCTGCTGTTGGGTGTGGCCTATTATGCTAATGGTTCCTGCTGGGCGTGGCCAACTTGGGAGCGAGCCGGAACTCCGTTCCTGTGCGTTCCTGCCCAAAAATAACCCTGGTTCTGCCACTTCCATCTATCCCTCAGAATTATTACTCTCACAATTTTACATTCAAAGTGCTGCTGGAAATAGAAGAGCTCATAGGTGTAACTGAACTGCCCTTTACTGAAGACCAAGCAGTATCACACAGTAAGTTTTGAGAGCTGTTTCTGCCTGCACTGATTATAGAATACAATAATGTGTTTTTAGAGATACATGCGTCAATATAGTTCTCTCAGTGCAAAATAATCAGGTCACAAAAAAAATGTTTTTCAGATGATCTACTGGAAACTAAACCTATTGCTAATTAATTACTTTACACCTAGATCCTTATTTACCTCTCTGTATCACATAAGTAAGAACGAGTAAGAGAAGAGATAAGCAATCTTCCATCCAGATAATCAAGCTGAACCACACAAGAGTCAACGGTGGTTATAATCTGAACCGGAAACATAACAAACGCAGTTGCAGCCTATAAGTAACACAGAGAAGAAATGTACACTGGATTATTTCAGGACTGATAGAACCGCATTACATTTATAAAGAGTGAAAAACAGAATTGCAAAATTGGGCTACTTGAGAGAAGAAGAAGAAGAAACAGTTGCTTGCGCTATAGAAAATCCATCCTGTCACACGATTTTTTGAAAGACATTAGTACATTCTCTTGAGTTGCACTTGGGAAGAAGCCATGAAAACACATGCCTCCTCAATTGCTACATGAGTATTGGCAGGGGAAAAAAACATGGAACCATTTGAGCCTTTGCAGAAAGAGAGATACCAAAGCTGGGAGGAGGAACAATTTAGAGAGCCAGTTTGGTGTAGTGGTTAAGTGCGAGGACTCTAATCTGGGAGAACCGGGTTTGATTCCCCACTCCTCCACTTGCACCTGCTGGATGCCCTTGGGCAAGCCGTAGCTCTGATAAGAGCTGTTCTTGAAAAAAAGAGCAGTTTCTGTCAACAGCTCTCTCAGCCCCACCTACCTCACAGGGTGTCTGTTGTGGGGAGGGGAAGGGAAAGGAGTTTGTAAGCCGCTCTGAGACTCCTTTGGGTAGTGAAGGGCGGGGGATAAATCCAATCTCTTCTTCTACCTCACAGGGTGTCTCTTGTGGGGAGGGGAAGGGAAAGGAGTTTGTAAGCCGCTCTGAGACACCTTCGGGTAGTGAAGGGCGGGGTATAAATCCAATCTCTTCTCTTCTTCTAGGTCTGTGATTCAGCACCACTGCCCCTCCCTCACGTTTCCCTGCCCTCTGCTGCTGCTCATTCTCCAGGGGCTGGCAGCAGGCGAAGAGTATTACTATTTACATCAGATCTGCTACACCATTATGAACCAGAAGCAACAAAGAAAACTCCCAACCATCCTTTTTGCCACTTCAGGTCATTGCAAAGAAGAAAGGATGGTAAAAGTGGTTGGGTAGTGAAGGGCGGGGTATAAATCCAATCTCTTCTCTTCTTCTAGGTCTGTGATTCAGCGGCACTGCCCCTCCCTCACGTTTCCCTGCCCTCTGCTGCTGCTCGTTCTCCAGGGGCTGGCAGCTGGCGAAGAGTATTACTATTTACATCAGATCTGCTACACCATTATGAACCAGTAACAACGAAGAAAACTCGGGCTTGGTAAGCATGTGACCTCATCCCCACCATCTTTTTTGCCACTTCAGGTCATTGGAAAGAAGAAAGGATGGTAAAAGTGGCCCCCTACACTTGGATCGCCAGCCTGGCGGAGAAGCCCCGCGTCCTGTTAATTGCCGTCTGCTGCCGGATTTCCCTGGTGACCATTTTTGGAGAAGGATGGTTGCTATTGAGGGTAGAGGAGAACACTAGGTGTAAGTATGCTGTTTGAAGTTGCCTTCAGGGAGAAGGTAGGCTAATTCCCATTATTGTTTTATCAACTTTTTGTAAACCAATTTGGGAGATCCACGGGGGGAGAAAGAGGTTTTAAATAGACAGAAGATACGATAGAGGTTCTAGAACTCTGAGCTGCAATGCAACTAGACCTGCAAAGAGCAAGCGGCCCTGGGCATTCCATCTACATTTCAACAGAAAAGCCTACCTTATCGAAAACTAAAACGGCCTAATTCCTGTGATCATGCAAAGCTTTCCCTGTAAGCAAGGGTTCAAAAATGATTCTTCCACAGCAAGCATTACTCCACCATCCAGAGGGGCAGAAAGCCACACCAGCCTTCCCACTGTGCATGGAGACCCTTTGAAGTATAGCACCAGGTCAGGGATGTCTCCTGCCCCCATCGAAAAAGCTGGCGCTAATCTGGAGGTTCACGGAATGTCTCAGAAAGACAGATCAAGTGCTGACCGGGACAGCCCACACAAGCCCTAACTTGTCAGATCTCGGAAGCTACACAGGGCCGACCCCTGCCAAGTACTTGGAAGGGCAACCTACAAGCGGGTAATATCAAGCCACCTCTCTGAAATGTCTTAGCCTCACTAGGGGTTGCCAGAAGTCAACCATGACTTCCGAAGGAAGGAAGGAAGGAAGGAAGGAAGGAAGGAAGGAAGGAAGGAAGGAAGGAAGGACAACACACACAAATACAGCTGCCTCCCAAGCTCATAGATGGGGAAGGAGACAACATGTCATCCCTGAACTCATGCTGTACTACAAAGGTGGGCTAAATACTTGCCAAACAGCTCAGTATAACATACAGACAAGGACCTATTGGGGAACTGGCAGAGTACTGGTAAGCACAAACTTTCAAAGGTCAGCTAGAGTGCATGGGTCCATGCCCCATATCTTACCTT